CACTTGGGTTGTTACCGACATCTGGTGAAAATTTCATGTCATTAGCACCTCTAGTAATATATTTACTGAGAAAAATGGTGACGTGTTCAATACTTATTTTACCCGCTATATACACACATTCAGTGACTGTCAGACCCCCAGGATCTGAACACTGTTTGTGTGCGGTTGTGAGCCTGCGTGTATATACAATATTTCTCCAGTGGTATGTTTAATAGTGACAGATAACACAGATCAGTTTTAAATCTAAACTCTTTAATAAATCCAAAAAATGAATTTTGTTTTTATTTAACAGAACAGCCGATCAAAGATGCGGTCATCACGGTCCCGGCCTTTTTTAACCAAGCTGAGCGCAGGGCGGTCCTCCACGCTGCACAGATGGCAGGTCTGAAGGTCCTGCAGCTCATCAACGACAACACAGCTGTAGCTCTGAACTACGGTGTTTTCAGGAGGAAGGATATCGATGGCACAGCCAAGGTGAGCGCTCAGCCTTCTCACAGCCCGTCTGAAGGTCAGACATGAGCTGAAGTTACAAACACTCAGCATCAGAAGCAATGAATCCAACTATAAGCTGTTTGTTTTCTAACGCTGATATATTTAACTCTGGTTTGTAACAAGTTCCTTCAAGTGGCTTATCTTCAGTCTGTCTTACACCCTCTCCTGCCATGAATACCTGAATAAAACTGGATTAATTAATTTATAGCCAACATATGTATGTAGTGATGGGTTTGTTAGGTAAGCTAGCTGTTCCATTTGAGGTATGAATTGTGTTTTTGGGTTCTGCTGCCCTGAAAACGATCTCAGATGTTCCTCTGCCAGATGTTGACAGGTGTTTAAGTCTGACCCGTGTTTGTTTCAGAATATCATGTTTTATGACATGGGCTCAGGCAGCACCACTGCCACCATCGTCACCTACCAGACCGTCAAAACCAAAGAAGCTGGCACCCAGCCACAGTTACAGATCCGAGGAGTGGGGTGAGTGTTGGYCTGGTGACACACTGACTCGGGTTATGGAGCAGTGGTGAGACCGGCCGGCTTTTTCTGCTTTTAGGTTCGATCGTGGGCTCGGGGGCTTTGAGATGGACCTGCGCCTGCGGGACCACCTGGCCAAAGTTTTCAACGAGCAGAAGAAGAGTCAGAAAGATGTGAGGGAGAACCACCGGGCCATGGCCAAGCTCCTCAAAGAGGCACAAAGACTGAAGACGGTGCTGAGTGCAAACATGGACTTCATGGCCCAGGTCAGACTCTTCACTGTCCTGCTGCCTGGGCTCAGACCATCAAATARAAACTGATGCTGATGGAAGGATCACTTAATGTTTCTGTGCAACTGATTCACATTTAGACTCACTGCAACATCACAGCTGACTGCCACAGCTTATATAGAAACGTAACTTCATCAGATATGGAGCTAAACGTGGTGTGGTAGTAGCTGAGAGGCAGCCTCAACAGACGCTTGAAGCTGGAACCGTTTCATATGAGATTGATCATAAATGGCCAGAACAGTAACAGAACAGCACCATCTCCCAATATAAAATGATCTTAGATAAAAACGTTAAAATAAACGATAAAATTGAAGTATTACAGGATCATCCACACTGCAGAGTCACGCATGCACTTTGACTCTTTCTGTCGCTGCCTTAGGAATAAGAACCGTTAAAAAAAGGGCATAAAGTAAGTTTAAAAAGGCTGAATGTCCCTTTAAAGTGATAAACTTCTGTTTAAAATTACTGTACAGAAGTAAAAAATAGTTGAACTAAATCTGATTTAGAGCATTTCAACAACCTAATAGATTTTAAAGTGTTAAACTAATGTTTAAAACAGTTGTAAAGAAGTCAAAGTTTAGCTTCWTGTGTCTTAAACTGGCAGAATGGCAGCCATGTTTGTAGTTTTATATTTGTAACAGAATAAGACAGTTGAAAAAAGGACAGAAGTGGATGAAAAAAATAAGAAATTGCTTTTACTAAAGCTTAAAAAAGATCTAATGTTGTTTTAAGTTAGTAAAAAAAAGTATAAGGCAGTTGGGGAAAAAAAGGAGTAAGAACCATTAGCAGTTGTCACTTTGTGTCACCCTACAGGTTGAGGGCTTGATGGATGATATCGACTTCAAAGCAAAGGTAACCCGGACTGACTTTGAGGAGCTGTGTGCTGATCTGTTTGAACGGGTCCCTCAGCCGGTGCAGGAGGCCCTCGCAGCAGCAGAGATGAAGTTGGTCAGTATTCTTCACACACAGCCCTCCCTCCTAACAGGGTATCTGAACAACAAGGTTTAGTTTTACACAGACAGGCACAGATAAACACGAGCTCTTAAAAAGTCTAAAATATGAAAATCAAAAATTTAGGCCTAAAAAGTCTTTGTCATTCAAGATCTTAAATTTGACTTTTTCAAGTCTTAATTTCTTTACTTTCAATCATTCTAGGGCTGCAACTAACAATTATTTTAATAATCGATTAATCTATTGGTTATTTTTTCGATTAATCGGCCAAATCATTAAAATGCTTAATTAAATGAATATGAGTAGATATAAATTAACTCCTTAAGGATGCAAGTTATTGATAATGAATTAATCCTAAGTTGATTTATCTTATAGATTGATTAACAATTAATTAATAAGCAGCCATTTTGTAAAAACCAGAGTTTTCTCTTGAATCCAGAGGGTCTTCCCATAAAATGAAGGATTTTTTTATAATCTCCTGAATTAAAAAAACAGAAGCACATAATACATATTTTAACTATTTATTTTACCAGCTGTATTAAATACTGACTGAAAAAAATGTGTATTTCTCCTACATGAAACATAACAGAAATTTAATAGGTTATTGAATGAGGAAAATAGATTAAAATAGAATATAATTTTTAGATGTAAAACTATTAATTTATTATAATTAGAATTTATTTACATTTAACATTTATTTTTTCTCTCTAATTCTTTACTTTTTGTTTCATTCTTGTTGGTTCTGTTTGACTAAAACATTGCTTGACCCTTGGACTGCCACAAATGATTATTTTTATAATCGATTACTCATCGATTATTTTTCGATTAGTCAACTAATCGGATCATACGTTAATTGAATATAAAACATAGAGCTTAT